TAAATTTACATAGATTTACTTATATCTATTTAGATCTACTTTATATCTATTTAGATCTTATTTGGATCTAATTAGATCTAGTTTTCCATTTTTTTTATCTTGTTAGATTTAAATTAGATCTATTTAGATTTAATCCATTTTTTCCCGGGTTGTTAAGGACGTCATTCTGAACAACTTTTCTCTATACATGTTAACCGCCGCTTGGTTATAGTTTTCGAGTTATACACTAAAGAAGTTTTATAAATAAATCTTTGTTTTCCAACACTTTTGATTTAAAAAGTAAATATTTTGTTTGTATGACACATGTGGGCACGGAGNGCTTCGCCCCTCCCCCTGCACCCACTTCACAAAAAATCTAACTCAACATACAATGCATAATGTACAATACATTACTATATCGCAGTAATATATTAGAGATTGAGTTCAATTATGCTTTTCGGGAAGAGCAGGGAGAAAGGCGAAGCCTCCTCCCCCTACCTACACGCTTACAACATTATATTGCCGAATATCTTGGGTGTGATCAAAGTCTCACTGTTTTAAAGCATCATTCTATTTTTATTCTATATTTAATGAGAAATAAAGATAGAATGATGTTTCAAAACATTTGCAGTGAGGCTTTGATCATATCTCTTGTTTAAAAGATTATACTGTAATGGAAGGAAGAGCTCCGCCCCATCCCCCCTTCCCGTCTACACGTGTACCATAATGTGTGATACAACCAATATATTTACTTCATAAATCGACACAGTGTTGGAAAACAAGAATTCATTTATGAAACTTCTTTCGTGTATAACTCGAAAACTAGAGCCGAGCAGCGGTAACGTATAGGGAAAAGTTGTTCAGAATGACGTCCTTAACAACCTATTTCAAGGTCATTGAAATCGGTGAGAAGAACCACTTTGTATACATATAATTACCAACGATGCTATATTATTTGCACTTATACATGTACTGTACATGTAATGAAATCTTTATTTACTCACAACCAAAAAAATAACTTAATTTGACGAAAAAATGCTCCTTTTTCTGTTTCGTTTATTTTGTTATCATCGATAACAAATCAAAGGAATCTGAAATGACACCAATCGATGATAACAAAATAAACAAAACAGAAAAAGGAGCATTTTTTCGTCAAATTAAGTTATTCTAGTTGTGAGTAAATAAAGATTTCATTACATGTACAGTACATGTATAAGTGCAAATAATGTACAGGGTGTTGCATTTACATACAGGTCATTACGACGGATTGCCTACTGGCAGGCGCGCACGTCCGAGCGGCACTTCAGGTCTTACTGATATGATTAGGTTTTCCAATGAAATATTTTAAAAATACTCAAAACTATGAATATGAAAAAAACAACATAATCAATATAAGCTAATTAATTAAAAGTGATAAGTGTGTAAAAATAAATAAAATAAACATTCTTTCCCAGAATTTTGTAATATTTTTCAAACTAAGAATGAAANAAGGCCGATACGAGCCATTCCCAGGATGTTGTGCAGGAATAAACGTGCATGTACAGGGTGCGGCGCCAAAATCCGGACAAATTATATATGTTTTTCTAAATATGTTTTATTGCTACAATGAAAAGATTTACAAAATTTGTTTAGCTCCATTGTTTGTAAGGCCATAAATAATATATTCACTCAATATATCCCCCGCTT